TTCATTACACGCAAAATCCAGTCAAAAGATTAAGAATCGTACGCCTTACTTAAAACACATAATACTTGTGAATAGCAATAGGTGCATCAGTCACACTGCATAAATCCAGAACCCTAAGACCAAATGATCGACATACTCAGAGCATAACAAACAAAATGGATGTATACGATGTCAATAAGACACGTTTATTGCATAAAAAGAAAGCACCACCAAGTTTGAAAAACACGCACACACAGCGACGACACTCAAGACATTTTTGGTTCAATACCATCTATACCTCAAGTTTCATCAAAATACTTTCATTCACACCAAACTTCATACATATAACCCTCTCCTACTCGCGAGCAACAACCACCACCTGTTTCCCGACATTTCTCCCCGAGAACAGACCAATCAATGCCGCAGGTGCATTCTCAAGCCCCTCCACAACATCCTCCACATAAGTGATCTTTCCTTCTTTTATATACGACACAGTCTTCTAGAAAAACTGATCATAAATAGGGAAGTAATCATTCGCAAGGAACCCTTCAATCCTCAATCGCTTCGTGACAACAAACATCAAGTTGTGTACACCCTCAGGTTTATCCACCACTTCTTAGCTGACACCAAACAGAAGCTATCCCCTCACGTGTTGATACAGATGAGGCAGAAACCTGGAGAGAGCTTTCAAGCCTACTTCTAGAGGTTCCAGGGGAAGAGACTAGAGGTCAGCGACCCAGGGAGTTCGGTAACTATGTCCACTCTTGTAGCCAGACCGCAAAACAATGATCTGGCCGACTCACTGGCCAAGATGTTAGTCGCCAATTATGAGCAACTAATGGCTAAAGCTCACAGGTATATGGACATGGAGGATGACCGAGCTTATAAGGCGGAAGCCAAGACCACAAAAACATCCACGGTCGCAACCTCGGTAGTAGCAGCAGTAGCAGAAACACCAGCAACACCAGCACTGTCGACATCTGCGATAGCACCGATAGTGGTGCCGACACCGGAGTTAGCTAGAGGCCCCCAAAAAGGAAGGAGTGGCTGAGAGACCCCCCAAGAGTCGACTCCCGCTCCAACTGGTCCGACAGGAGGGATCGACGGAGGGATCGAAGCCTAGACCCGCTCTCACGGTCCTCAACACCTCTCTTGCAGAAGCCCTCTCCTGGTCCCTAGCGATGGGAGGCACAATCGAGATGTTGGATCCAGCGCATCCCTCTCGGCATTAGACAGATCGTTGGCCATTAGCACCTCCCTCCTTACCTCAGGCCAGTTTGAGCAATCCAATTCCAAGTCGTCCCCCACAACCCAGACGAACTTCTCTTTCTAGTTCTTGTTTGAGTCATGAAGGCTGGTAATGAGCTTATACTTGCCCACTATTTGAAAGTGAAAGTGTGGATCGGTCTGGTTCACCTTGAAGCTTACAGGACGGCCCAACACCTTCAGAGATGGTTTTATCGCCAGCCAATGGCAGATCACCACGATCCCAGCCAGGGCCGCAATGGCGTTCGACTTCATCTGCGCTGGTGACACCCCTAGAGCCGTGAAGACTTGCTGAAGGAAAGGATTCAAAGGCAATCGTAGGCAGAACTCCAGGTTCCTTAGGTACAATGGAGACCGATCCGGTCCGTGATCGTAGAAGACCTCCGATCTTGTCAGCGCCATCAGTTGATACTCTTGGGGGATGTCAAATCTCCCGTGGAGCGTCCTTATCTGCAATTGCGTTACTTTAGGGTGGAACTCTGCCAACTGATGTGGTGTGTTTGTGAATATGTTGAGATTGCAAGTGCACAATCAAGTTATAGTATAGAAAAATGCTGAATCTCACAAGGAAGGTATTGTATGAATTAATCAAAAGGCGGTACTTGTCGGTCATTTAGTCAAAGACGACTTGCCACAAATCTACTCGACTAGTTGTCTGGCCGACATCTCACGAGAGCCGACTCGAAAGGCGGTACCTCTCAACACCCCTCCATACAAGACAAAAGGTGACTGCGACCTTGAGCCCCTCGCTGACAGCGTGTCGACATCATATTAAATACTTGACATGTGCCATCATTTCTCCATCCCCGATACTATTTATGGCACATCGGACCACGCTGGCTTCGCACGCCGCCTATCCCGTCTCATGATGCCAAAGTGACCGCACCCATTTCGCGACCACTCCACAGTTGACACCTGTAAAGTCGACGCTGACTCAGCCGCTAGCCCAGACTCGACTGAAGAGACCAGAATGTAATTCCTTCATTACCATAAAAGGGAAAACTATTCCCAACACGAATGTAAGCAATTTCTCTACATTTTTCTCCATTCCATCGCATTTAAGAACTGCTACAGTTAGCCATTTTCCCTCACTTAAGTACCTTGCTAACTTGATCGTCAGAGGAACAACGGGGGAATTAGACCCCGCCCTCATACGAGTTGCTACATGTGCAGGGAAGAACAGTTCAACTCCAAACAAGATATTCGCAGAAGTTAGCAACCCCTAATCAACCCAGTTCCTATCAGTTTATCTGTGCGATTACATAACATCAACAGTAACCATATCCTATTAGTTACAGATTTTAATAACCTTGCATATCTATATCCTAACGGATATAGATGCAGATATTTTCTCAGGTACGGATATTATTTGTGCACTTCTAATGCTCATGCTACATTATGTGTGGAGCTCATTACCGGCAAAATCCAGTCAAAAGCTTAAGAATCGTACGCCTCACTTAGAACACATAATTCTTGTGAATAGCAATAGGTGCATCAGTCACACTGCATAAATCCAGAACCCTAAGACCAAATGATCGACATACTCAGAGCATAACAAACAAAATGGATGTATACGATGTCAATAAGACACGTTTATTGCATAAAAAAAGCACCACCTAGTGCGAAAAACATACAAACACAGCGACGACACTCAAGACATTTTTGGTTCAATACCATCTATACCTCAAGTTTTATCAAAATACTTTCATTCACACCAAATTTCATACGTATAACCCTCTCCTACTCGCGAGCAACCACCACCACCTGTTTCCCGACATTTCTCCCCGAGAACAGACCAATCAATGCCGCAGGTGCATTCTCAAGCCCCTCCACAACATCCTCCACATAAGTGATCTTTCCTTCTTTTATATACGGCACAGTCTTCTGGAAAAACTGATCATAAATAGGGAAATAATCATACGCATTGAACCCTTCAATCCTCAATCGCTTCGTGACAACAAACATCAAGTTGTGTACACCCTCAGGTTTATCAAGGTTGTATTGAGATATCATCCCACATGCGGCGATTCTGCCATGGTTCCTCATGTTGAGAAGAACAGCGTCGAGCATTGCTCCGCCTACGTTCTCGAAATAGATGTCGATTCCTTCAGGGAAGCACCTGAAATTATATTGAAATTCTTCTTTAGATAGTGACCTGGCATATGAAAATCCAATGATCTTTGTTGTTTTTTAATGGTTAAAGGGAAACTAAGAGGAGGCAAGTCCAAGAGCAAATCCAACCGTATTCATTTTTTATATAGGGTTAATTGCAGATAGACCCCTTGTATTATCGTTCTTTTAAGGGGGAAAAGTAGGGCTAGAAGCCTCACCACTGTTTCAAATTTACTACCCCACTAGTTTTATTTTTGCACAGACTCCATAAGCGAAAATATTTGTCTCTTTTATCTTCAGGGGTCTATCTGTCACAAATTTCTCTTTCTCCAAGGGAAAAAGAGTCAGAAAATGTCACACAAGGGGTTTATCTGCAAAAATAGAATGAGTGAGGTAGCACATAAAACAACGATACAGGGGTTCCATCCGCGATTAATCCTTTTAATTAATGAGATAGGTCAGCAGACACCCTTTTTTTTGTCGAGGCAAAAAGCGAGGCGAGCCTCCTTAGATTAGTCAGCAAACACCCTTACTATCTAAAAATATGAGGCCACGATGAAATTTTTAAGTGAGGATCTCACTGAGATAAAACTAGATATATACCGCAAAGCAATCATAATTCACTATAGTACAATGCTCAATTCTCTAGAATGATGTAGCGACCACAATTCTTGAAAGAAAAATATCAGTTCAATCAAAAGTAAAGGCATGAAACTGACCTTTTCAACGCTGCATTAAGGTCCTTTTCCTTCTTATAATTGAATGCCTCATCAAACCCAAATTTCTTCTTCAAAAGATTAACCTGAGATAATATATCCATGGAAAAGCTTAGGATAAATAGGCTCAGACTATGCAATTGACATGCCCATCAATTTTTTTCACAAAGATACAAGCAACCGTTTTAGGCAGTTATTTCTTGTGTGCTGCCCACATATTTTATTGACTAATCTTATACGTTCACCTTAATTTTTATGGCAGGCGCGGATCTATGAATAGGAGATGTTGAAATAATTTTAGCATGTTTTCTTCAAATTATCGCTCCACCTTTCAGATATTTTAAAGTATGATCACCTATATATTCTATGGGGGTGTACCTACTTATCATAATATCCTGTTTTATTAGCATCTGGTCCTGTGACCTCTATTTTCTCCATAACATTTAAACTCCCATAGAATCAAGATCAGAGGTAGACATTTTCCAAGAACAAGAATACTTCCATGTGATTTTCATGTGAGTTTAAAAACTAACATGAAAATAATGCTGTCATGAGTGTTGGGGCTCTATGTGTTAATAAAATACAATAGTTAGTTGTGAAATAAGCCACTGTAGTACAGCTGTCTTGGACCCTCTAGTTTTGCTTTTGTAGACAGACCCCTAAGTGACTTTTTTGACTATTTTACCCTCATGGGTCTATTCACCAAAAAAAAAAGAAAAAGAAAAAAAAATCCCTTTCTCTGAGGGGTAGTATATTATACCCGAAAAAGCTATTTGGCTCGCGGTTGGACCGCGAGCCAAATAGCAGGGTTCTATTATACCACAGCGGGTCTATACACAATTAACTCAAATTTGAATAAAGGCAATAAGTAGCTACATTCTCATACAAGGGATGGGAATAATTCAAGGGGTGCATCTACAGATAATCCTAAAATAAATCATGTCGTTCACCACTTAACGAAAAAAAGAGGATAAAATTAAGTAGCTCTCAAGCACGCATACCTTTTCATCAGATCCAGCACTTCCTACCACATAACAGCCCATCAGTTTAGCAAACTGTCCGACGAGCTGGCCAACTGCGCCTGAAGCTGCTGATACAAAAACAGTTTCCCCTTTCTTCGGAGAGCAAACCTTGTAAAATCCAGCATAAGCTGTTACTCCTGGCATGCCTGCAGACAAATGTGGAAACATAGGAAATTATTACCAATCAAAGTGGTTTACGAGATTATGCAGTCATAAAGTCTTAACTACTCTTTGGTTGCATAAGACATTGGGCTGATATCCACCGGAAGCATTAGTATAAGATCATCGTTATGGTTATAAGTTAAATTTTTTTGGTAATATCTCAACTTTACTCTCTTGTTTATTAAAATTACCACTTCTCTTTTAGACACACAGGTTCCAAGGTGAACACTTCATTTTGTCTACACACTTCCGATATATTTTGTCTGTACTTATGTGCATAATTACTAGCTACAGGCATTTAAGCACACTTTCGAGCAGTTTGAGTTTCTCCTTGAGCATCTGCATATTAGAACAAACAAAGAACTGCTCGATTTTAGAAAAAAAAAATATGGGATAGAAGCAGAAATTGTTTTCTTTTATTGATTTTTCATGTATCGAACATTCTGTGTAGAACTATGAAGAGCATTTAGAGAAACAACTCAGTTTTAGTTCAACGGACAAATACTTCTGAAGGCTATGCAATTAAGTTTGGCATACCATAAAGTAAAATTTAAATTAATGGTGAAAAACTCCCCCCATTTTAGTGAATCTCTCTCCATTAATCATTTCAGAACTACGTGGACTCTGGCAGTTATAGCACTCAAGAGCAAACAGATAAAACATTGAATTTCTTTCAAATAAAAAACTGAAAAATTATCTCAATGAGATACTGATTGCGATACAGCATCAATAAATGAAGCCAATTCAAGATATATAAACCGGCACTTGCAACTAGAATTATATCAAATAAAAGAAAGAATAGAATCTCAAAGTAGATGAACTCACCCAAGAGTCCAGTGTAGTAAGAAAGGGGTATGTCGGTATCTTTAATTTTGAGCAGGGTTTCTGGTGATGTTACGAGGCTGTACTCTTCCCATCCAGTCATCCCCCAAACGTAGTCACCAACCTTGAAATCTGGATGCCCAGAATCCAATACTTTGCCGACGCCAAAACCACTTATGGGCTGTGCCATAACAACAGGAACCATTACCATCATTAAAAAGAAACTAACATGTAAAAGAAAATAAAGGACTATGGATGTGATCCTGAGTCCTTTTACAGTGTGAGCTGCATTAAGAAACAATAATGCTCCAAGGAAAAGCTCCGTTATTAGGAAATTATCCAATATAACAAGTGAAATTAGAACCCTGATGCTATCTTATCCTTCCTAGATTGTTGTAGCACTTATCATATGCAGGGTTTACCCACAACATTTACATCTACCTCCATATCATAACATTTCTTGTAAGTCATTAATGTAATTATCAAATAACAAGCAAACTCTGATATCATGTTCACTTGGAAAATATATTATTTGATCAGTAGATATGGACAAGTGTTTCCGGCTTCGGCAAAGGGTGACAGACATATGACAATTGTCAGAACTCTAAAATTCTAGTGAAGGTTAAGGATTATGATTTTATATTCTATAGCTATACTACAACTTGAATAATAATAATAAAACAGTTTTAACACAATTAAAAATCAATATCCCCCCAAAACCAACCAAACCCATGTACCCAAATACCTCAATACACAGAACCCACTAGAAAAGAACTAAAAAAATTTAAGATATTAAAAAGGCAAATATACCGATCCAGGGACGAAATCAGGGACATAATTGGCCTCCTCGTGCTTGGACATGCTATTCCTAATATAAGGGTCACAAGACAAGTACAAATTCTTTAATAAAACAGCTTTTGATCCCTCTGCTACTTTCAATCGAACAGTTTCGGTCCTCACGATCTCCATATCGCTCTCTTTCGGAAACCCATTTACGTAATTCTTTAGTATCACTTTCTTGTTGGGTTTCAGCTCTCCAACTCCGATATTATTCGCCATTGTTCCTTTTTTTTTTTTTGAGGTTATATGGTGAGATTTTGCGAGGGAAATGGTGAAAATGGAGAAGATATAATGAGGGGGCTCATTGTGAAGTGCGGTCACTCGTGACAACAGTAGAAAAATCCAGAAGGGAGATTATATCTCGAATATCGCAGGAAAATAAAGAGGGGAATAACTGTGTATACAGAAAAATAAAAAGAAAATTCCATTAAACTATCATTAAGGATAAAATTTTGAAAACACCTGATTTTTTAAATTGATATAGCAAAATCGACCCTTTCTGAAAAAAAATAAGCAAGGTCTATTTTACTGAGGAAGTGTTTTTCAAACTGCACGGAACTAGCAGTCTCATGCATTTCGTTTTCTTTTTGAACTGTATGGGACTAGCAGTCCCGTGCATTTCAAAACTATCTGCTTAGTGCAATTCAAAAAGAAAACAAAATGCACGGGACTGCTAGTCCCGTGCAGTTCGAAAAACGAAATGCAAGTCCCGTGCAGTTCGAAAAACGAAATGCACGGGACTGCTAGTCCCATGCAGTTCGAAAAACTCTTATGCAGCAAAACCGACCATTTTCATCTGAAAAGGGTCGGTTTTACTGATTTTTTTCAAAAAGAGTCGATTTTGTTATATAAATTTGAAAATTGAGTGTTTTCAAAAAATTATCCTATCATTAATTGTTTGGGGGTTTTTCGTATTAATTTTTCTAATGTGTAGAGGTTAGTGTAAACAGGCACGTGACATGATGTGTATGATATATTTTGATTACGCCCCGCCCTCTCTCTGCTTTTTTTTTTTAATATTAGTGGTGACATTTTGCACTTTAAGAAGTAGTGGGAGGATCGAACAATTAAGACTCTTGGATAGGAGCTTGTGCCTTTATTTGTAACATGTATAAATATATATGCTATAATTTGAAGGTAAATTTAGGAATATATTAGGATATGCTGAGGTTATCTCGACATTATTTTGAGGATTACTTGTACTATACCCATGCTCTAATTATGGTACAAATAATGGAGGTTTTATATCTCTAAAATTCTAGTGAAGGTTAAGGATTATGATTTTATATTCTAAAGCTATACTACAACCTGAATAATAATAATAAAACAATTTTAACACAATTAAAAATCAATTTCCCCCCAAAACCAAGCAAACCCATGTACCCAAATACCTCAATACACAGAACCCACTAGAAAAGAACTAAAAAAATTTAAGATATTAAAAAGGCAAATATACCGATCCAGGGACGAAATCAGGGACATAATTGGCCTCCTCGTGCTTGGACATGCTATTCCTAATATAAGGGTCACAAGACAAGTACAAATTCTTTAATAAAACAGCTTTTGATCCCTCTGCTACTTTCAATCGAACAGTTTCGGTCCTCACGATCTCCATATCGCTCTCTTTCGGAAACCCATTTACGTAATTCTTTAGTATCACTTTCTTGTTGGGTTTCAGCTCTCCAACTCCGATATTATTCGCCATTGTTCCTTTTTTTTTTTTTGAGGTTATATGGTGAGATTTTGCGAGGGAAATGGTGAAAATGGAGAAGATATAATGAGGGGGCTCATTGTGAAGTGCGGTCACTCGTGACAACAGTAGAAAAATCCAGAAGGGAGATTATATCTCGAATATTGCAGGAAAATAAAGAGGGGAATAACTGTGTATACAGAAAAATAAAAAGAAAATTCCATTAAACTATCATTAAGGATAAAATTTTGAAAACACCTGATTTTTTAAATTGATATAGCAAAATCGACCCTTTCTGAAAAAAAATAAGCAAGGTCTATTTTACTGAGGAAGTGTTTTTCAAACTGCACGGAACTAGCAGTCTCATGCATTTCGTTTTCTTTTTGAACTGTATGGGACTAGCAGTCCCGTGCATTTCAAAACTATCTGCTTAGTGCAATTCAAAAAGAAAACAAAATGCACGGGACTGCTAGTCCCGTGCAGTTCGAAAAACGAAATGCACGGGACTCCCGTGCTAGTCCCATGCAGTTCGAAAAACTCTTCTGCAGCAAAACCGACCATTTTCATCTGAAAAGGATCGGTTTTACTGATTTTTTTCAAAAAGAGTCGATTTTGTTATATAAATTTGAAAATCGGGTGTTTTCAAAAAATTATCCTATCATTAATTGTTTGGGGGGTTTTCGTATTAATTTTTCTAATGTATAGAGGTTAGTGTAAACAGGCACGTGACGTGATGTGTATGATATATTTTGAATACGCCCCGCCCTCTCTCTGCTTTTTTTAATACTATTTTCTATGCACGTGTAATGCACGTGGTTAAATATTAAAAAATTCTTGTTTTATATTTATTTCATTACTTTAAATAAGTAAGATTTATCTTGAGTTCAAATATGTATAATTGAATTATAAGATTTATTAGTATTTTATTTAAATATTTAAAAAAAATTAATGTAAAGGAATTTAAGCTAAACTTGGATGAATATACGTATCTGGGATATTGTAATTGTTATTATGAATTTTAGTTATAGTAATGTAGAAAATATTTCAAAATTTTAAGTTTATTCAAATGTTTTTTGACTTAAAAAGCCAAGATCATTGTTTGATTTACTGCAAACTTATAAATTATTTTTGTTCTAAGAATTTTTAATTGATCACTACCACCAACACCCAACAGTAACTTAATTAAAGTATGAAAGTAAATATTGATCAAATTTGGTCCCTTATTCAATATGGCAACAATCTCAACAAGTAATAATTAGTAAGCCAAGGATTTTTTTTAATTTGGTCCCTTATTCAATATGGCAACAATCTCAACAAGTAATAATTAGTAAGCCAAGGATTTTTTTTGAAAACAATGAATATTGAAGTTTGTGACAACCCCAAGCAAATTCATCACAATAGTAATTATTTGGCAATTGGTTAAAGATGCCACATTTATATTATAAATGATCGATCACATGCTGCGCTAGCTATCAGGAAGAGTATTTTATGTCTATCTGATAATATATCCATTCACATGATCAATAAAAGCAGATTTTTATCGATTACCTCTCACGAAATGCAGGATCATATCCATAGATAATAATATAATATAGTAAAATGGTTAAATATCAAAGTGTAATTTGATTAGTGAGGGACTTTGTGGTGGAGGACCGTGAATCATCTAGCACTCCACAATTACACCTGAGAGTTTTGTGAGGAAAGATTGACTATATGCAGTCGTTGAATCTCATCTCAATGAAAGAGTGATCCGAAAGTCACAGTAGGATGGTTTTAGTCATCTTGGAAATGATTAAATAGCCATAGTGGGAGGTTCTTAATGATGATTAAAAATAAATTTTTCTGATTACTGGTTTTTACCATGCATAATCGGTTTTGGGTTATCCTTAAGAATACCATGTGTAGTATCCTTCCGGAATTTCCTTTTGGAATGTATTGAGGTATCCCACCCCCAGCTCTTTGGCGAACCTAAATCCAATTGTATTCGGCCACATTGTTAGGTTATCCTTAATAATATTAAGAGTAATATTCTCCAGGAACTTTCTGTTTTTGGAAATAAGAGAAGATGTTTAACCTCGTAAACCCGTCGAATGAATGTGAGAAGTAGTTTAACCTCTTATACTCATCAGAGGAATGTGAGAAGTAGTTTAACCTCTTATACTCATCGGAGGAGACCGTTCTCATGCGGTTCATTTCGACGTTATGATGTCAGCGTCAACCAAGGCTTGAATGCTATTCTTGAACCGTTCTCATGCGGTTCATTTCGACGTTATGATGTCAGCGTCAACCAAGGCTTGAATGCTATTCTTGAGAGTGAAGTAAGCCTTGGTGGGATGAAGGATCTTCCTGTGTACGCACATGTGACGCCCCAGGGTTCACACAAGGCTGCAGTCCCAGGTGAAACCTGGATTGTCAAACCTGCCAAGCACCAACCACCATGCTATGACAAGTTTCACCATCACAATCACTATCTCTCTAGTGGAACAATAAATAGGTGAAGGTACAGACAGGTAAAAATAGAAATAGGACAACACTGGATATACACAGAAGAAGCATAAGAAAAATCAATAATGAGCCCAACTGGAATAAAATAGACATATCTCTGAGTCTGAACTGAATCTCGAATACAATGAGTCACATAAACAAAGTCTCACAATAGCTCTCAACTCTATGAAACAAAATACAAATCTAGATTCTAAAATTTATCAACTACATGTGGAGTTCTGCAATAACTACAAAGTATGATACGTAACTAAATGGACAACTAAGAAGTCCCATCAACCTGCGACTCTCCGTGCGCCAGACTCGCTGCCTGAAAGGGGGGAAAACAACGAGCGTCAAAGCGCTAGCGAAACAATGAGCGTCAAAGCGCTAGCGAGATCATCACTACCTCTCCCCAGGGGAAGGGGTAGGAGTATATAAGAAAATAGAGTCAGTACATACATATATCAAATCATTCATATAACTCTCTATGAATGAAAAACAAATAATCAATGATAAATACTCCAATCTCCAACATAAAGAATAATCATCTCATCTCGAATTACTTCCGAGTGACCTGCTCTAATATAAGAGGATACCAACTAAGCTAAAACAAATATATCTGCCGTTCATAACGGGTGCAACAAATTCTCAAAGGAAAATACCCTACTCGCGGGCAATTTATCATAGAAGGTAAAACTTACAACTGATCAATTATCTATATGTGCATCATATTGTACTATAGCGATACTTTTGTAATGCTCGTTACTCAATCGCTCTGCGGCAATAGGATTTATTATTTTCCTATTCCGGATACATATAATAACGATACTGTTGTAATACTATTACTCAATCGTTCTGTGGTAATAGGTTTTATCTCCCCTATTTCCGGATACATGAAATAACGATACTTTTGTAATACTATTACTCAATCGTTCTGCGGCAAATAGGTTTTATCTCCCTATTTCCGGATACATGAATTAACGATACTTTTGTAATACTATTACTCAATCGTTCTGCGGCAAATAGGTTTTATCTCCCTATTTCCGGATACATGAATTAACGATACTTTTGTAATACTCTTACTCAATCGTTCTGCGGCAAATAGGTTTTATCTCCCTATTTCCGGATACATAAATTTACGATACTTTTTCATATGTATTCATCAGCTCAACGTGCGACAAAAAGTATGTTAACACAACATAATCTAAGTGTACGTGCACATATCTCGGTGTGCGTGTCCATATCTGGTGTTCATCATCATCCCAGATATTAAACAACTCTTAAGCATTGTATATAACAGTACAAGATCGAGAAACTCTCCTCAAAATTAACAAACACGAGCGAAACTCAGAAACATTTACGTAATATCATCAATTTATTTCAAATCAGCACATCTGTAGTTTTCCTGCACAGGACATATCATTAGTAATTTAGCATTATCTTTCTCTGGACAAACTCTTTTTAGCATAGTTTTCGTTTAGAAACTAGGACTCACATATCTATCATTTGACACTGCATTTTGGCTCGGTTTTGGAGTTCATATGATATTTCTAATTTCCAGTAAACATTTATTGTGCAGCAGATTTTCTGCGAGAACATATCATCAGTTAAATGAGCATATGTTTCTTCTAAGAAAACTATCTTATAGGTATTGGTTTTCTGTTGAAAACTAGATTCACATATCTTTCAATTGGCATTATGTTTTGAGTTAACTTTGGATTTCATTTTTATTTTCAAATTTCTGCTCAAAAGTATATGTGCTAGCAGAATTTTCAGCAGAACAAACAGCGATGATTATTTGCACAAGAAATCAGTTGTAAACCTTCATCAGCACGAAACTGTTAAAACGGAAGAAAACGACATCTAAAATTCAGATAAAACAATGTCTTAAATTATTTTTAGATCTTAAAATTACTTTCTGTAACTTCATGCTTTTAATTCTTTACACATAGAAAAAACTAGTCTTGTATACAATAGATACAAAGATCCATTTTTATATACAAAATAATTGATTAGGCTCTATAAACTCATAAACTCTTCAAAAAAAATATTTTAAAATCTCTCTCATCGAACCAGGAAACCTAGTCTGACTAAGAAAAATAACCTTCTGTATTTTAACTATAACTTTCTCATCCGACCTCGGAATGAGGTGATCTAAGACTTGTTAGAAAACTGTTGAAGAGACCTACAACTTTAGTCTTTTATACTTTTCCAAATTCTAACTGCATCGGTGTGAAAAACATAAAAAACTCATAACTGATCATTATTCCCAGATTTTTACTCTTTTGGCCTTTGTGCATATTTTGTGCATCTGCACTCATATTTTCACAAATATATATTAAATTGATCTCAAATCAATTCTTATCATATCCAAACATCAAAATATATTATTTTTCACCATATAACATATTTATCATTATTTATCATAAAATATTTAAATTTACGGGGTTTTACATTCTTCCTCCCTTAAAAGAATTTCGTCCCGAAATTCCACAATCGCATCTCAAAGCTTAAAAACTAGGAACATCTCAAAGCTCAAAAATTGGGAAAACACAATAAGAATGTGTAATTCGTATTAAGAATTCCTTCTGCACCCATCTCATAGTATTAGCACAATGATATTTAAAGTTTACAACCTAGAATGCAAACATTCTCCCCTAAATCCCTAATTAAACGAAATTAGTACGTCGAGCGAAATAATCCAAACAAG